CCCATGCTCCAATAGTAAAACACAGTACGTAGAAAACTAAAAAAAAATTAAAACAAAACGTAAAATGAAAAGGGAGCCTGCTCCAAATTTTGGGAGCAGGCTCTTTCAGCCTAGAGCCGGCTCTAGGTTTCCTTAGAGCCGGCTCTACTTGTTGTGGGAGCCGGCTCCCACTTCTATGGAGCCGGCTCTCACCTCCTTTGAGAGCCTTCAGTCCCCGGTACTTCGTTTCAGCTTTTGTGCTCCTTTTCCGGCTTATTCCTATCACTATGTTAATTTTTAAAATTAATCTTAGGTGTCATATTCATACCCAGTAGCATCCCAATGGCTTGATAACAACAATTAAAATCAATTAGAAAGATTAAATTTGCTACCGAACTAACACGCATTAGGAACAAAACTGAAACTATAATTCTATTCCAACCTCTCTGTTCCTCTTCACAAACTGATCTTAGGAGTCTTATATCATCCCATTAACATCCCCAGGGTTCATTTACAGAAGATAAAAGCAAGAATCGTAACTAAAATCTCAACAGATTTTAATATGCTTTAATGAACAGAACTGGGAGCAACCATACACGAACTATAAACAGATTTGAATTCAATGCAAACAGATCATCAACAAGCATACATTAAACACATAAGTTTCAATTACTAATTAGTTAATCCCTAGAGACTATCTAGGTGCACAGAACACGAGCCAAAAGACAAGAGGAAGATAAGAACTTGCCTGCAGTTTTGGACTCAAAACTTTGTCGCCGTCTTCCTAACTTCCGGCAACCACTAACTACCTTCTAACCTCCTCTGGTTCTGGTCTAATCCACCAAAATCCTCCCTTGGTACTTACTGTTCTTCTCTTTGACAATTCTTACAGTGCCTCCGTTCACAACCCTCTCTGTTATGAACTAACTTCACGTTTATGTAACATGAATTATGATTGCAAACCCTAGGCTAAAGCATAATGGTTGTATTTATAGGTTTAACTCTAAAACCCTAATCCTTGTAATTTTAGAGACAGAGCCCTAATCTTAATCCTAGTCGGCCCATAAATAAAACCTATGATTAAATTCTATGTTGATGTCCAAAAGAAACTGTGAGTCAATTAATGTAATTAAAAACTCACGTAACTTAATTTTAACATTACAAGAATTATAGTAAGTTAATTACGTAAGTTTAAAATAGTGAATTACAAATAATACAATTAATAATTTGAGAAAATAGACACAACAATTAATAATTTAAATAAACCAAATAATGCACATAAAACCAATTTAACTCAAATTTCAAATAACCAATTAAACAAATGAAAAACAAATAAAATAAATAAAAATGCAATAAAGACAATAAAATAAATAAAAATGCAATACAATAAATATTAAAAATGCTGAGACTATCATTTTAAAATTAGGGGTATTGCATGTCAGTGGCTGGCTTTCGGTTAGTGTGCTACTTTACCACACAACAAATTTTTTGTGCAAGTTTTTGGCGTTCGGCTTGTAGTGCCAGCGGCCACCTACTTTGCTGAATGGTTGGCGCTCGGATGGAATGCCACTTGCCGCTTTCACTCTTTTATTTTCTGGCAAGTTTTTGGCGTTCGGCTTGTAGTGCCAGCTGCCACTTACTTTGTTGAGTGGTTGGCGCTCGGCTAGAATGCTACTTGCCACTTTCACTTTTTTATTTTCTGGCAAGTTTTTGGTGTTCGGCTTGTAGTGCCAGCTGCCACTTACTTTGCTGAGTGGTTGGCGCTCGGCTAGAATGCCACTTGCCACTTTCACTCTTTTATTATTTTTTTTGGCAAGTTTTTGGCGTTCAGCTTGTAGTGCTAGCTGCCACTTACTTTGCTGAGTGGTTGGCGTTCGGCTAGAATGTCACTTGCCACTTTCACTCTTTTATTATTTTTTCTTTTTGGCAAGTTTTTAGCATTTGGCTTGTAGTGCCAGCTGCCACTTACTTTGCTGAGTGGTTAGCGCTCGACTAGAATGTCACTTGCCACTTTCACTCTTTTATTATTATTTTTTTTGGCAAGTTTTTGGCGTTCGGCTTGTAGTGCCAGCTGCCACTTACTTTGCTGAGTGGTTGGCGCTCGGCTAGAATGCCACTTGCCGCTTTCACTATTTTATTATTATTTTTTTTGGCAAGTTTTTAGCGTTCGGCTTGTAGTGCCAGCTGCCACTTACTTTTCAAATTTTCAAACATTTAATTTTTTCATAGGAAGATAGCTTTTTATATATTTCCAAATTTCATACATTCATGCGTACACAATTTGAAAATGAACAATGATAAAATTGGAACTCGATTTTCTATTGATAATACATTTTCGGAGATGTAGCATTCCATGGCTTGTTGACCAATCTTCCAGCCATGGTTTCTAAAGTGTAAGCTCCCTTTCCTAAGACTTCTGCAACTCTATATGGGCTTTCCCAAGGTGCCACCATTTTCTTAATCATTCCTACCTTCTTCTTCAGAACCAGATCACCTGGTGTAAAGTCTCTGTGCTTTACCTTTTTGTTATGGCTATTCATAAGTGTCTGCTGGTAGGATGCAAGCCTTACTGCCGATGCATCTCTCTTTTCCTCCAGCATATCGAGGTTAAACCTCAACATACTGTCGTTATGCTTTCGGCTCCATGCCAAGCTTCGAACAGTAGGAACCAAGTGTTCAACCGGTATAACTGCCTCGGTACCATACGCTATGGCGAATGGGCTTTCTCCGGTCGGTCGCTTTGGGGTCGTTCTATAATCCCATAAGACGTTCTGCAGTTCATCTAACCATTTTCCTTTCTTCTCTTCAAGCTTCTTCTTGATGCAAGCAAATATTGTTTTATTCATGATTTTTGCTTGTCCATTGGCCTGGGGGTGACTTACTACCGCCAGCTTTTGATTAATTCCATATTCCTCCAACAACTCTCTTACTTGCTTGCTGTCAAGGTTGGTCCCATTATCCATGACGATTGACCTCAGAACATCAAAACGACAAATAATATTACTTCAAATGAACCGTCTCACATGAGTCTGAGTCACGCTCGGGTACGGCTCTGCTTCCACCCACTTAGTAAAGTAATCTGTAGCCAGCAACACATACTTGTTCTGAGCTCTTGTAGTTGGCAGAGGATCAACCACATCCATCCCCCATCGTGCGAAAGGCCACGGTGTGGCCATTACGTGCAAGTCTTCAGGTGGTTGGTGGATCTGTGGTCCGAACCTTTGGCACCTATCGTACCTTCTGGATAATTCTTCCGCATCCCGCGACATGTTTGGCCAGAAGTACCCTTGCGTCATTGTTTTGTGGGCTAAAGACCTTACCCCTGAATGGTTTCTACATACACCTTCATGAATAGCTCGTAGTATCTGCCGAGCCTCTGTGGGGGTGACGCACTTTAAGTACAGCCCAGAAAAAGATCTCCTGTATAACTGGTTATGCACTATGGCATACTTTGTAGCATTCAATTTGATTTTCCTAGCCTCATCTCTTTGCTCAGGCAGAGTACCATCTCGGATGTAAGTTATGATCGGATCAATCCAACTTGGCTCATATGGAATAACATTCACTTGCCAAGGATCTGAGCTCGAAGGTTCTTAAAAAAATGGACGGCTGGTTTAATATTCCTACTGGAATCACCCTTGCCAATGTTTCTCCAGACCCCGAGGCACTACATGCTAGCCGATCGGCATCTTCGTTATGCTCTCTCGGTATTTGGATAATTTAATTTTTTCAAAGTTTTTGGCTTCCCGCATAACAGCAGAATAATATGCTTCTATCGTTTCATCTTTGGTTTCATACTCGCCATTCACCTGCCGAAAAATTAACTGCGAGTCACTAAAGATAGTCAAAGTCCTGACCTTCAACTCCTTGGCAAGCTTAAGTCCTACCAGCAGTGCTTTATACTCCGCTTTATTGTTAGTGGCTCTGAATTCAAGCCGGAGCGCTTGACTTAAGGACGTACTTTCTAGTGTCTGCAGTTTGATCCCAATGCCTGCCCCCATCTGATTTGAGGATCCATCGACAAAGAGTTTCCACAAGCAACCACGAAGGTCTTCCTCCATGTCTTCTGAATCACATTCTAGTAAAAAATCTGCCACCGCTTACCTTTTGACTGCCGTTCTGGGTTCATATGTTATGTCAAATGAGCTTAACTCTATGGCCCACTTCGTCATTCTTCCTGAGAGGTCTGGCTTGTGCAGGATTATTCTGATAGGGAAAGTAGTTAGAACGATGATAGGATGGGATTCAAAATAATGCCTGAGCTTTCTTTTCGCATGCACTAGCGAGAGTATCACTTGTTCCGCCTTTGAATAACGTCGTTCGGCCTCAGTCATCATTTTGCTAACATAGAACACTGGATATTGCTTCCCCTCTGCACAACAGATCAGAACGCCACTTGTTGCGATGCTGGATACCCCGAGGTATAAAAATAACTTTTTGCCTGGTTCTGGAGTTGATAGGACCGGAAGGTTCTGTATATATTCTTTTAGAGTAGTTAATGCTAGACGCTGTTTATCCCCCCAAACTTGTCTGCCGTGGCTTCGTATTGTGTCAAAAAATGGTTTGCAGCGATCTGACAAAATGGAAATGAATCGGCTCAATACAGCGATCTGAATTCGGGGGTATCACAGTCCCATAAATGTTTGCACTTCTTTGACTGTCGTCAGCTCGGCATTCTTAGTCAGAGCTCCTGCTTGGGCAGGGCTAGCTTCTATGTCTTTATGATTAGCCACGTGTCCCAGGAATTGACCAGAACTCACGCCGAATGAGCACTTGGTTAGATTGAGCTTCATTCCATATTGTCTCAACACATCAAATACGTCTTGTAGATGTTTTAGATGGTTAACTTTCTTCTTACTTTTTACTACCATGTCATCAATGTAAGCTTCCACGGTCTTCCCTATTTGACCCTTGAAAATTTTGCTAATAAGTCTTTGGTAAGTTGCTTCGGCGTTTTTCAGTCCGAATAGCATGACTTTGTAGCAATAGGTCCCGCGCTCGGTAACGAAAGAAGTTTTCTCTTAATCAGCAGAGTCCATGGGGATCTGATTATAACCTGAATAAGCATCTAAAAAGGTTAAACGCTTATACCCAGTAGTAACGTCCACCATTTGATCAATTTTCGGCAGCGAAAAGCTGTCATTCTGACAGGCTTTGTTCAAATTGGTGAAATCAATGCATACTCGCCATTTCCCATTCTTCTTCTGCACAACAACAACGTTTAACAACCAGTCAGGATAATACATTTCTTTTATAAATCCCGCATCAAGTAGCTTGTCAACCTTCTCGGCTATGATCCGGTTACGCTCTGGAGCAAACCTTCGCTGCTTCTGCTTTACAGGTCTTGCATTGGGATTTACGTTCAAGGAGTGATAGGATACGGAAGGATCGATTCCAGGCATGTCTAGGTGGCTCCATGCAAATACATCGGCGTTCTGAGACAAGAAATCAACTAACTCATGTTTCTCCTCCACAGCAAGTTGTTCCCCCACTCTGGTTGTTCGTTCTGGTCGGAACCGATCGATCTATACATCAACCAGGGGTTCTTCGGTCAAGTTCACCGGCTTCTCTTCCTCATTCTACTTGGGGGGAGGTTCCTGTAATTGTTATCTCGGGCTTGATGAACGGATGGGTGCTTTCCCTTTTCCAGCATACTTCAACGTTACAGCATACTTCAGCATACAACCTGGTCCCTATGAATGTCGATCACCTTGGCTCCGTCTGGCCCCAGGCATCTCATTACTTGATGCAGAGTAGAAGGAACACCTTGAACTCTGTGGATCCACCCTCTGCCTATTAGAAGGTTGTAAGAAGGATGAATCTCGACAACCACAAAAGTCTCTATCAGAACCCTCTCTGCAGCATGTACTGCTACCTCCACCGTACCGTTGGGCTCCACTCGTTTTCCATCAAACCCTAACAAAGGATTCCCAGTGGATTTGAGCCGATCCAGCTTGATCTCGAGCCAATCGAATGTGTCCCTCGACATGACGTTCGCACTACTTCCAGGATCAATTAGAACTCTGCGTACCAAACATTCGGCCACTGTCAAACTGACAACCAACGGGTCCTCATGAGGGATTTGAACACGCAATAGATCTGTTCTATCAAACTTTATCTGTGTTGATGCGCTCTGGTGGTGCAGAATGTTTACATTACCTATCCTCCTCTTCATCCGTGCCTGGCGAAGGCGTGTTCGAAGCAGTTCATTTGACTCTTCAATAGGCTTAGGCCGACCGTGAATTGCATTGATTATTCAAACCGGTTGCGTATTGTAAGAGTTCGACTTCTGATTCCTCTTCACGTGCTCCATCGGTCGGTTCTGTTCCACCGCCGGGCCTTGAATATAACTTGCGAACTCCCCTCTGGCTATTAGCATCTCGGCAGGTTCTTGAACCAATTGAGCGCTGGTCCAGTTAGACTTGTAGGGAAGCACTTGCACATCAAGGAATCATTCTCAGTGTTCAGAGCCATTTTTAACTAGATGTGATACACATGATCAATCGGATCGGTCGTTTCGTCAAACAGAATGAAAACGGGCATGGAAAATTTCCTCGGACTCGGAGCATTCAGAATTTCATCGGTGAACGGTGAATCAACCGTTTGAGCTGCTGAATGGAGGGCTTCATTTTCCCTTTGGAACCCCACGATTGCTCTCTGATCTACAGATCTCCTCTCTGAGCTGCGATAGTCGAACGTCGCTATGGAAGGCCGATAAGTCGGATCGAATGATCTGTCCTCAATAAACTCTTTGTGCCACGACGGTATAGCTTTGTGACGATCAAACTCCATTGCTTCTCCTCGGCTGAGCGTTTCTTGATGTGGATTGAAAGTCATGGCTTCGTTTCACTTGATCTGTTCATGCCGTGGATCCACGTGAGTTGATCCTTTACGATCATCAACACGACGAGGAGTTGGCAGAAAATCATTTGGTCGGACCTTCTCGCAGTGAAGATCTGTCTAATTGTTCCCTACCTCCTCGCCGTGATGTGCCGCATCAGTACGTGTAACTTTTTCTCCTGCCGGGAGCGGTCGCGGAATCACCGAAACTTCTTAACACTGCATTTTAGTCCTTAGATCTGCATTCTCTCTCCTGAGAGCTTCGATCATGCTCATCAACTCAGCAAGTTTCATCTGCTGGACATTCTCTACCGTATTGGAGTTCTCACCCCCAGTCATCATTCTAGAACGGAGCAAAGGCATGAAACGTAAATTCTAAGTTAGATCTGAGTCTTGTTGACGTGAATCATATTAGATCTGAACTCAAATTTTACGAGTTTTGTTCTCCTTTCGATAGATCAGAGCTTTTCCGGGGTCTGAGCTTGCCGGATCGAGCCGCGATATAGTGAATTACAGCTGCGTAAACCTAACGCCAATTTCTCAGAATCAATCAAGAATCTAGAATATCTCAAGAGCAAACCGCAATCTCTTAGATCTGGACTAAACTTCTAGAAATCAAGCTTCGTCGTCATCAATCAGTCTGAATCAACATGACGTTGATCAAACAAGAATCAACCTCCTCCGCTTCCCACAGACGGCACCAATTGAAGATGCAAAGAACTTTTCTCTCTCTATTTGGACAGAATCTCAATACATTTTCAATAAAAAATAATCCTCCCCTTTCACTCTCTTCACTACCCTTTTATAGGCAATTATAAGTGCTGTTGGACTATCTGTTTTGGGCCTTCTTTCCAATGCGCTTGGTTCTCTTCGGTGGATCCTCCGGGTTCGGCCCATTCTGTGGTGCTCTCTTATGGGCTGTACTTCAATTGTTTGCCTCGATCCCACGTCCGCAAACTATAACCGGCCCATATCGTTTATCGTATCCTCAATAACATAGCCCAAAATGTTGGGTTCCTTTAAGATACCATAGGATTCACTTAAATGCCTTCATATGAACTAAAGTTAGATTGTTAAAATGCTGACATACCTGATTGACTGCATGAATGATGTTGGGTCTTGTGAAGGTTAAGTATTGCAAAGCACCAATAATGCTACGATAAACAGTGGTATCAATTTGATCGACATCAGAACAGGTTGACTTTTCTTTAATGATCATTGGTGTAGCTATGAGAGAGCTGTCAAGCATTTTTGTTCGAGTAAGAAGATCTTGTATGTACTTCTTCTGAGATAGAAAAATACCACCAGAGAAAGGTCGAATTTCCACACCAAGAAAACAATAAAGTGAACCGAGATCCTTAATTGCTAATTCATGACCAAGTTGAGCAAGTAAATTTGTAATAAAGATTGTCATTGTTACCAGCAACAAGAACGTCACCTACATAGATGAGTAGGATATTAGTGATATTATTGTCACGGTAAATGAAGAGTGAAGAATCAGCCTTGCTGCAATAGAACCCAAGGTGACCCCGGTGGTTGCTCCATGTATATCGTTTCCTTAAGATGACCGTGCAAGAAAGCATTTTTGACATCAAGTTGTCACATACTCCAGTTAAAGGAAAGAGATATAGCCATGACAAGTTGAATAGTAGTTAGCTTAACTACTGGGCTGAAAGTTTTGTCATGGTCGACTTCAGATACTTGAGTAAAACCTCGTGCGACAAGCCGAGCCTTGAAACGATCGATGGAACCATCCTCTGGATACTTTATACGACACACCCATTTTGATTCAACGATATTGATATCAGAAGGTCGGGGAACTAGTTCCCACGTGTGATTGTTATGGAGAGCTTGAAGTTTCTCTTCCATTGCCGTCACCCATCGTGAATCTTTAAGAGCTGTTTTTAAAGTTTTATGCTCGGATGGGGATGCACGATTAAAGGTGGTGGTGAGCGCATAGTCATTGAGATAAATAGGCAGTCGTCAGATTCTTTCTGGACGTGAGACAATGGTAGCTAGACTATCTTGCCTTGCTTCGCTATGAGTATCCGGTAAGCCGTCGGAAGAGACATCTCGGTTTGTGATGGGAAGTGCCGAGACATCAGTTGATGATATGGCAACGACTGGCTTTGAATCTTCATGTAGACTTAGCTGATTTGCTGGAGATGAAGAGTTATCATTGATGTGATTTGCTGCAACGACTGGCTCCAAATCTTCACGTAGGCTTGGCTGATTTGCAAAAGATGAAAGTTCCAAAATTTCAGCAATATTTTCTGTAAAATTTTGATTTGAACCTGCAACACAATTTTGGTTACAACAATCTAGTGAATTTAAGGATGCCGAAGCTTCCTTATTTGTCTCAGTCAACTGGTCCGATTGGTGAGAGAGATCCTGCATAAAATTTGCCTTCTTTGTAGAGTTAAATAATTCATCAAAATAAGGAAACTCAGGCAAAATTTGTTGTGAAGAGGCAGGAGCATCACACGGAGCTTTGTAAGGAAAATTTTCTTCATAAAAAACGACATGCCGGGATATGTAAACTCTTTTTGTTTTGGGCTCTAAGCAGTGATAACCTTTATGTATGGGACTGTAGCTAATGAAAATGCATGGATACGTTTTTTAGTAAATTTATTACCACTGTGAGATCGTAGTGATGGAAAACATCGACACCCAAGCACCCGCAAGCCACTGTAATCAGGATGTCGTTTGTAAAGTTTATGTTAAGGACTGTTACTCTGTAAAATAAGAGATGATAATCTGTTAATGAGATATACTGCAGAAAGAAAAACATCAACCCAAAGTGATAGAGGCAAATTTGCATGAAACAACATTGTTAAGCCTGTTTTGACAATATGTCGATGTTTCCGTTCTGCTACTCCATTTTGCTCAGGAGTTCCTGGACAAAAGATATGCATTTTAATCCCACAATTTTTTATATGATCAAGGAAATCATTTGAATTAAATTCACCACCACCGTCGCACTGAAAAATCTTAATTCGTCGATCAAATTGGTTCTCTACTAGCCTTTGAAATGTGAGAAAACAATCAAGGAATTCTAATTTTCTTCGTAAAAGATATAACCATGTGAACCTCGGGTAATCATCCACAAAAATTGCATAGAAACGAAACCGTTGATTTGAAGCCAAAGGGGCTGGTCCCCAAAGATCACAGTGAATTTTCTCAAGAGGGAAATTTAAAATTCTATTTGAAGAATAAAAAGGCAATTTACAACTCTTTCCTATTTGACAACTAACATATATAGAAGGTTTAGAAATCTAATGGGTAACATCAATAACTTTCTTTTCCTTTAACAAAGACAAAATCTTTGAATTCGAGTGTTCGAGTCGTTGATGTCAAAGGGTTGTAGATGATTCGCCTTTCCTTATTGCACTAAGTGCCTATTGAGAAATCCCATGTAGAGCATAAAGTTGACCTTTCTTACACCCTCTCGCAATTGTCCTTTGATTTCGATCCTTCACAACAAAGTCAGAAGCAGTGAATTCAAAAGTACACAGATTATCTGAAGTAAACTTTCTAATTGACAATAGATTCTTTTTCAAATCAGGGACCACAAGCACATCGTTTAAATTTAATTGTCCTTCATGCATATTAACACAAATATCACCAGTATGAGATATAAGTAAACTATTTCTGTCTCCGACATAAATCACATCATTTCCATTATACAGTTTTATGTAAGAGAGTTTACCTGCATCATTTTTTATGTGCGAAGTTGCTCCGGAATCAACATAGAATGACTGATCATTTGAATTATTAATAGCAAGGGCAACAAGAACTTGAGGAAAATCTTCGGGTTGGTATGAGTAATTAAACCTGTGCCAACAACCAATAGCCAAATGATTTGCTCTTCCGCAAATTTGACAAGAAACTTTATCATTATTTTCAGCATTGTTTGGATGGTGCTGCTGTCCAAAAGGATTCTTATCCTTTGATGGGAAGTTGTTGCTGTTTTGACCGACGTTTCGATTGCTGTTTTGATTTCCTTGAACATTGTACCTTCTGGCAAGAGTAAAACCCCTACCTTTTAAGTTGAACCGTCCATGGCCTCCTTGACTGCTTCTACCACAACCTCGTTGTTCGAAGAAGGCTTGAGCATGTTCCAATACCATCTTCTATTGGTCTCTTTTGCAGTTTGTGATTGTTCGTAACCTTGAAGGGCTAGAACAAACTGAGAAAATATAATGATGGGTAATGTGGTTTGGTGAGCATAGCAATTCAAAATTTTTCATAACTCGGACCCAAACCACGAGCGAACTGGAACACCTTATGATCAAGATCTGGGACTGGCTTCTTAATGGCAGCGAGATTGTCGCAAATAGAGTTGAAATCCTTCAAGTAATCTTCCAATTTTTGAGATCCGTTCTGAATGGTCATTAATATTCCTTTTAAATGACCTTCCTTCTCAACTGTGATGAGAAAGAGTTGCTTTTCAAGTGAGGTCCATACTTGATATGCTGTTTCGAATCGAGCCGAAGATCGAACTCTGCAGGTCTTCTTTCATGGTTCCTAGTAACCATGAAACGAGCAAACCGTCATTCGTAATCCATGACTCATAAACCAGGTTAGCACCTTTGCTACCCTTTTCATCCTCTATCTCTTCAGCAGGTTTATCACCATTTGTAAGATGATGATAAATGCCCAAACTTCGGACTAGAGGAGTGATCTGAGAACGCCACAAGAGGTAATTAGTAGTGGTGAGCTTGACAGAAATCAAGCTTGAGCATTGATGAAACGATTGGATTGTAAGCTGCGGTTCCTGTTTGATGAAATGGTCGACATGGTTTCAAGGTTTGCGGATGATGGCTCTGATACCATGAAGAATTTGAATAATTAATTTGGTATGGGAAGCGTTATTTTTATTAATCAATTGTAGATAATATATACACCTTTTGTGCACACTAATTACATGAAAATTTTGCATAATGAAAAAGAGTAATAACGTGTAATAGTTGTGATTGACCTTTGACGATCGTCCTTGATATTGCCACAATTTGAGGAATTTGTTTCCTTAGCGAAGTCTGTATATTCATCACCATAGTTACAGGGATAGTTTTCCTTAACAGAGATCTCATACACAAAAATTAAAACCAACTCCAAAACGAAAAATTATTTGTTTACAATAAACTTGTTTAAATATTCTGATTCGAACTGAAAGGAGCTTCTAGGTCGAGATTGGCCATGGAGGCAGTTGAAGATGCTTGGCTGCAAAGGATTAAAAAATAATAATAAATAAATAAATATTATAATTAACAATATAGAAACAAAAAAGGGGAAAAAAAGACATTGACGGGGGAATTAATATACTTACTCTATAACATCTCTCCAGTAAGAATGAGCTGCTTCGTCATCCAAAAGTTCTTCCCAAGCTTCAAAGTTGGTCCAAGTAGATGATGAGGGGTTAGAGATATGATGAGTTGGGTGGTTGATTTTGTTATTATTTTTCATTTGATTGACAGTGTAAGACTCGGGAGACGCGGAAACCAAAGCAGGAAAGGAAGAATTTCCTATCGGAGTCGTGGCATTACTGTCATTATTGTTATGATCACCTGTAAAAACTTCAAAATTGGAAGTAACCATGGGTTGTTGATATTGATCATGGAGTAGTTCTAAGTTTGGGAAATTCGCCGACCTCGATTGAAGAATTTGAGCTGAATAATTAGGATCAAAACTGACAGGACCAGTAGGTCCTTGATCAAGTACTTGAGAATTCATGAGTGGCCTAAGGTACTCATAAAGCTGTTGATGACCTAAAAGGTCATTTAGAGCTTGAATGGTTGGAGGTGGACTAGTACTACTAGTACTGGCAAGGGTTTTAAGTGTGTTGTGTAACAATTGGGTTTTTGCTAGCTGTGTGGTATGATGATGATGATGATCAGCTGGTGATTGTAGCCTGCACAGAGCATTGAGCTGGTCCCACAGATTGGTCAATGGGCTAGCAGTAGTATTCATGAAGTTTGCTATTGCTAGTAGCTGAGGAAGACTGATCATGAGATCAGTTCTTGGTCTGTGAGTAATTGGATCAATACCCATGTTCAGTAGCTTTCTCTTTAGATGGCTATTCCAAAAATTCTTGATTTCATTATCTGTCCTTCCTGGAAGATAGCTTGCTATCCTAGACCACCTGCATATATATATATATATATATCCGAGCCATTATATATATGTCTATATATATAGCAGTTTAAAGGTGTTCGTCTATACATTAATTACTTACCTATTTCCATGGAGTAGATGGAGGTTGATGATGAGTTGCTCTTCTTCGTCGGAGAAGTTTCCTCTCTTGATATCCGGACGGAGATAGTTAGTCCACCTTAGCCGACAACTCTTTCCACACCTCTTGAGTCCTGCAAGCTTCGGAAGTGAACTCCAATGTCCATGACCATTTTTCTCTATGTAGTCCACGAGTTTCCGATCCTCGTCTGGATCCCATGGACCCTTCTTGAGGCCATTCTCATCGGAGGAAGGTGATCTCCCCATACTCCCTGTATCTACTGCATGCATGAGGAAATTAATTAGCTGGTATACATAAAAAAGTGCTCCTATATACATAAACAAACACAAACAGATGGATCAATAAAGAGAAGAATAATACAAACCCTAGATTTAGTTTGTGGCCTGTGTACAAAGAGATATATCTATATATAGGATATCTAAGAGTAATCAAGTGTGCGCATTTCCCGAATGAGATGTCATTTGATGTTAGTAATATATTGATTTGTTATTATTATATATTAATTTTTTACTTTGATTTTAAATGCCGAATATGCCCTTGTATTGCATGTATGCATGGTAACTTGAGGCTAAGATAAACTGCTTTGAATTGAATCATTCATTAATTCTTGACCCTTGCCTCCACAGTGAGGATTGTAACTTTAACTAATTACCAAGAAGAAGAGAAAGGAACTAACTTTTATATTATTATAGAGTAAATTAATTACCTTTACCAGGAAAAAGAAGGCGAGTACTAAGATTGAAGGATAGCATTCAAGAAATGAAAACACAAAAGGAGACTTGATGAGATATTTAGCTATGTTTGGTGGTATTGATTTGAGAATTAGAAGCAATTTAGGTCAAAATTTGTATTAAATATATTTTCTTCAATTCTGAATTCAAAAAATCGATTCAATACTTCTAAACATGACTAGGCTAAACTATATACCGGATCGGAAAACAAAAATAGGCTAAAGATTGAGGGGGTAATTTAAAAAATCATATATGGAAGAAATGTAGGCAATTTTTTTCAACGTTTAATTAATTTAACGTTTTCTTGTTACGCAAGGAATTCACAAATAGTGGAATGTGGCCATGAGAACGCGCAAGCACGCTTAGAACGTGAAAACGACACCCATTGAAAACTTGAGAAGGATTATGTGACTTGGGTCCAGCTCCAGCAGGCAACTCTCTAACATCCTCTCCGGATGTCATGCCTAGCTGTTTTACCTTAGTTAATAAATAGGACATGGAATATTACTTTTAGAGAACTCTTTAATAGGAGTAGCATTTTGCATTCAATTGAAATTTGTGGAACTGGACAATTTATAACAAAAAAAAGGTTTATAACACTTCTATGTCGGCTAATTATATAAATGTATTTTTAAAATTGTGAAATTTAGGCAAATAATATTTACACAAAATGAACGTGGTATGAGATTATCTTTCTCATACTTGTTACTTCTTCTTTCACTTCAATATTATTTGAGTTGTTCAACACTTTCACCCTAAGGCAAAGGAAAAAGTTTGACAATTACATGGGTAACAAAGTAATTACATGAATAAAGCTTTTTTATAATCTGTTTACCTTCATCATTATTGCTCACACACACAGAGATTGGAATGTTCCCAAGTATTAATATATGTATCACCATCGTTACCGGCCTCCTCTCTGATGCCATATATGCATCACCATTGTATTTTGGTATGATCGAGATTCTAATTTATTATATATTCGATAAAAACGTTTTTAATTTTACCAAAGAGAGATGCTGAATTCAATGAATGTTCAAAGGATCATATTATCATATTCAAATGTTGGACATCTAGAATTTCAATCAACAATGTAACCATCAAACTGTGAATATAATAATATGCATAATATATATGTTTATGTATCATACAGTTTACCATCCATAGTATAATGCGTTGGACTATAAATTAATTATCAGTAATTAGCAGCTCCCAAAAATTAAACAATTTGATAAAAATATTAAACAATTAAGAAGTTTGCAGATCCAAATTGGAATTGACAGTCAAATTAAGGGGCCACACCCAAAATTGAATGTTGCATGGACGGCGTCAACCCAAATCTCTGATAGCTCGTCATCGTATAACTGCTTCGTAATTTTGTATTTGATTGCAATTTGTCAAAGTAAAAATTCTACTATAATATTCACACTTTATGAGAAAGTTTTCGGTACAACGGTGACGTCAAGTTACGTCATAATTTCATAACTAGTTGGAATAATAATTAAAAAGAAGGAAAATAAAAGAAATTCTGTTAATCCATTATATTTTGATTTTGAATTTTTTTTTTTTTTTTTTGGCCATACATCCATGGAGTAGTTGACACCATGTTATTTGCGTCATTCTTATATTAAAGTTGTTCTATATATATATATTTTTTTTTTTTTTCAATTAAAGTGCTCTTTCATTACTTCTAAACACATTATCTGATTGTCATTCCCCTACTACTTTGATTAACCGTTCTAAATTAACAAAAGTAAATCTAAATAGATTGGGTATGACCCACTAACTTAGTTAGTATAAGTCTAACTATCCCGATAGATGTCCCAATGTTTGAGCATGCTCCCTCCCTTATTTTGTCAAGGGAAAAAAAAATCAATATATATTAATTATTGGCATTGTAGTCTAGCACCAAGTTACATAAATCATAAGCAGGAGCAAGAATAAATTTGAGAACTACAGTGTGAAAACGATAAAACTAAGTCACATATAGTGGAAATGAGAGTGCGCGCAGAATATGAGAGCAATAGCACGCTCAGAACGTGAAAACGATACCCGTTGAGAACTTGAAAAGGATTATGTGACTTGGGTCTAGCTCCAACATCCAACTCTTTAACATCCTCTTGCGATGTCATGCTTTTACCTTAGTTAATAAATAAGACATGGAATATTACTTTTAGAGAACATACTCTTTAATAATACTCCTTCCGTCCCACAATACATGTTCTGCATAGGGAATCCAACTTTTTATGGTAGTGAAGTTTTAATAGTTTTTTATTGTATTGATAAAAGTGAAGTTTCAAATATGTCCTTACTAAAAGTCAAAATAGTGCTTCATAATTAGTACAGTTATTTACTTAAAAGGATAGTTTGTGAATGTTATAAAAAATAGTACATGGAATATGACATGATTTTTGGAACATCCAAGATGGAAAGATGGATAATTATTTTGGGCCGAAGGTGTTAGGGATTCACACACAATTGACAAATATAACAGATAAAAAATCAAACACAAGCAAAAACGAGATTTGCGTGGTTTGGCAAATTGCCTAGTCTACAGGTGAAGAACGACTAACTTTTACTTCAAAAACTTGATTACACACTATTCTCTCTCTCACAATCTCAACTCTCTTTTTCTTTCTACAACTTTCTCTCTCATATTCATATCTATTTATAAAGTCTTCAAATTCAAATTCATGTTGAACAAGGATTAATTTGCCTACAAGAAGTTACCACATTAGTCTCCAACACCTACAAGGAAACCATATTAGTTTCCAACTCTAAAATAGATATATAATTTCTTCCCCAATTCTTCTGGCTTCCAAAACCAATTAGGTAACTGTTTCTCGCAATTTCCAATTAACTCGCTGTCCAAGTTGAATCGGTTCAACAATTTGGCTACTGGGAACAAACTGGTTCCCACACGTCAGTGGCCAAAATTAAAATCATTAGCTTCCCTAATCCTTCCCGTAACACGTAACATGTGATCAAAATATGTTTTCACGTACGTGCTCCACCTCAATCAAAGATCTCCTCATAGCTCCACCTTAATTAAAGCATTATGATAAATTTGAGAAACACTCTAACAATCTCCACCTTTTTCTCAAATTCATTCTTCTTGTCATTCTTCACCGCACCACTATACTCATCTATTCTTAGCAAATTCCAAGTTCAAATAATGAGACTTAGAATTTACTTTCACATTACCAAATTGAACTCTTCTTGCTTTTGGGATACACGCTGATGCTTTTGCAATTGTCAAGACTTCTTCCTTCTCTTGATTATTTATTCTAATAGATTTCGAAACAGGCTTCCATTCCATTTTTGTAATTGTTCCACTGCTAGTATTTCCCAATAGAATATAGAGATTGTTGGCATTCCTTCCCAAAAGCATGACACGTGGCCCTCTTCTAATCTTTATCAATCCATTTTTCACTTCACACCAGCAACCTTTAGAATCCAATGTTCCCACAGAGATCACATTCCTTCTAACACTTGAGTATGACGTACATTTGTTAGAGTTCTTATTAGAGTTCTTAACCATTCGTTGTCTTGATTTTAATTGTTCAAATTCCCATATCGCAAGAGACATTATTCTCTATAAATACCTTACCACCTACAGGTTTGTAGGCAGCAAACCATTCTTTATGAGGGCACACATGAAAGGAACAAGCAAGTATCCATTCCTTAGCTTCTCCCACGCTTCATCATTATCACTCTATTCTTTCGTATCTTCAGACACAACAACGATAGCGGATGCAATCTCTTTTCTTTCTGGACAATACCACTGAATATGCCCCTTTCTTCCACACTTATAACATCTTTTATCTAACAATGGTGCAAGGTTTCTTGAAGCTCCAAATCTCTTCTTCTCTAGAGCAATTAGAACTTGAGCCTGATTATCACGGCTCTCTTCATCATTCAACTTTTCATTAGAGAATAAAGCACTTTTAACTTGTTCCACCGAAATGGTGTCTCTCCCATAAAGCAACGTATTAAATAATTACTTATGGGTAGAGCGTACTGACGTCAACAAAATAATTGTTTTATCCTCACCATTTAACTTGACATCAATATTAGATAAATCACAAATAATTTTGTTGAACTCACCAAGATATTCTTGAAGGTTTACCCTATATTTTCTCTTGAAGGAATATAACTTTTGCTTTAAAACTAACCTATTGGTGAGATTCTTTCCCATATACAGAGTCTCCAACTTCTGCCACATATTCGCTGCTGAATCTTTTTTTATCACATCATACACAATATCATCTGCCAATGTTAATCGAATTGTACTCATTGCCTTCAAGTTGATCTTTGCCCAATCTAAATCTTCCATCTTTTCTGGTTGCTTACCCAAGGCATCTTCTAGACTGCGCTGAATCAGTAAATCCCGCATCCGAACTTGCCAAAGACTGAAGTTCTTTCTTCCATCAAACTTCGCAACCACGTACTTTCCATCTGTAATAGTTGCTGCCATGGCTCTGATACCAGTTGTTAGGGATTCACACACAATT